TCTTATTGACGAATTAATCATCATGTCATGAATCCAATTAAATTATTAATTCAAAATTCTAATGTTTGATTTAAACGAAATAATTTCATAAAATTACATCCTTTATCAAATATATTATGAATTAAGTAGGTTTTTAAAATATTTGAAAGTTATTATGTTTCAAAAATACAATTATTATGTTTCAAACTTCATTATGGCTAATGAAATCTTGGGGCTTTTTTAAGAAAAGCATCAAGCAAAAGTTCTTTTGTGCTATATATTTGATATTAGAAAGGCCTTTGGTATGGTCTCGAGTTATTTTTCTTCTTTCTAGGGTGGCTCAAAAGGGTTTCCCTCCCACTTTTATTAATTGGATTAAGACTTGCATTTCTTATGTTAATTTCTCTATATGTATTGATGGTGCATTGGAAGGTTTTTTCCCTCTTCTTCCGGCTTAAGGTAGGGGTGTCCTTTAAGCCCTCTTCTCTTTTTTGTATAATCATGGATGCTCTATCTTGCTTACTTGATGCTGCTATGCAGTCTTAGATTTTTTAAGGTTTCAGTATGGATGGATTAATTAGCTTCACTCATCTCTTTTATGCTGGTCTTATTGGTTTTTAGCATAGTGAAGGCCTCCAATTGCAATATTCTTATGAGAATTCTTAAATATTTACTGATTCCTTCGGTCTGCATATCAGCCTAAACAAAAGCTCTTTGTGCATTTCTCTAAATACCCTTCATGCCAACAAGATTACCTCCAACCTTCAAATTCACAACTCATGCACCAAATTCCTATACCTCGCTATCCCCATCTTCCATTTCAAAGCCAAACTTTCAAAATTTTCTCCACTTAAGGAGAAGATCGCGCTAACCTTTTTTGTGGCTGGAAACCTAGTCTTCTCTCTTTTCCATGTAGGCTGCAGTTTATAAAAGTCACCATTGTCAATATTGTTGCGTACTAGATATGTGGCTCTATTATTCCAAAATTCATTTGCAAGATCATTGAAAAATTACATTCTAAATTCATATTCTTTGGAAACACTTAATCTAAACACCCTTCATCTTATTTCTTAGGTCAATACTTGTAAGCCAATGTGCAAAGGCGATTTAGGTATATCATCTCTTCATGTTCTCAAATTTGCATACAACTGATCTATAATTTTTAGACTCTTCAATGATATTTCACCTCTCAATAGCTAGTTGATTTCTATATACTCTTCCCCATAGAAGACCCCCCCCCCCCCCCCCCCTCTCCCTTTTGCCCCCCCCAATGTTTATTGATTATGCTATCTAGAAAAGTATCTGCAATTCTGCTCAGATGGCCAAGCTCAACTTCAAGTTCATTATTTGAACGAATTGAACAACCCCATTACTTTGCGTTGGGATCACTGGTTCGAAACTTTCTTAATTGACTCGACCCTTAATCTTTGAAATTACTCCTCCTTTGATGCTCGCTTATCTCACTAGATGGTTAGTGACTATTGGGCTTTACTTGACTTCCTTAGTACCCATATTAGAGAGTCTATCTCTCGGATCCTTATTCTATCGGTTGGCTCCAAAAGCCTATTATGGAAAAACTCGGCTACTACTTCCTTTAAGGAGTTCTACAAAAAAAAATTAAGATTATGCGGATGTTGGGTGGCACTTATCCCTATGGTAAAAACGGCATTCGCTTAGATTTTCTATCTTTGGTTTGTTGACTATTCATGAGGGCCTCAAAATAGTTGATGCTCTCATTAGAAGGAATATTCAGGTGTAGTTCTTGTCCTCTTTGTTTTAACTGGTCTGAAGTCCTACCCACATATTTTTTGAATGTGATTACTCGTTCACTGTGTTGGTTGGTATTATTCCTAATTTTCAAGAATTCCTTCTAAGCCCCAGTTTAGTGCAGATGTTTGATTTCATTGCTGGTATGAATTGTGAGCATCCTGATATATATAAAAAAAAAACTTTACAATTGCTATGTATACCACCTTTGGTGTGAAATGAATGAGAGGAAATTTTTTCTCAGTTTTTGTTGTGTCGCATCTTTGCGGTGTAAAATTTTAACGACTATCAGATTGAAGTCTTCTAAATGGAAAATTTTAAATTCATTAAAGGAAATGGTCTTTTTCTAGCATGTTATGGCTTATGGTTTGTGGTTTTGATGCGCCTTTTGCTGGTTTGAATTTGACATCTTCTTGGTTCTTCTCAATAATCGATTTTGGAGAGACTGTTTTTCAATTTTGACTCTTTGTTTATTGTGAGCAGGCTTTCCCCTCATGGCTTGTTATATGACGCTCTCAATAAATTTTTTGAGGTTTGGCAGGTTTTGCAATTTTGGGCCTTGACAATGATGACTTCCTGCCTATTAATCTCTCCCCTTTGAAGGTCTTTGGGCAACCATGGGAGATGTAGATGCTCGTGATCCATATGCTCTGCTCTGATTGATATATTTTAACTCCTAAGTCGTCCATGACCATATTTTTTGTTTCTCTCGACTTTACTTGTCCACAATTATTTTAAGGGATAGGTTTTGTTCATCCTATTTTTCAGGGATTGTGATGCTCTCTTCTTTTATGAGAGAACTACAATTTTTTTTTTACCAATGTAGTGTCATGCCCCAAGATCTAACTTGGAAAGAATGTCAATCAATTTCCCAAACAATTTACCAGAGTTATCTAAACCTTCAATTAAGCAGTCTATCAAACATCTATAAAATTTAAAACATCAATATACAAGTCAATTCATATCTCAAAAAGTCATGTACAATACTCAGGAACTACACTACAATCACCAGTTCTGAAATCTATCCTGAGTACAAAAGAATCACTATCAATCAAAAGACAAAAACCTGAAGATCTGGATCAATTCCTATCTTTTGCTCCCTTGCCCTGACCTGAAAATCAACCACATATAATGAGCTTTACAAAGCCCAACAGGTCACCTAATACCTATAACTGAAATCAAAGTACGGCTATGCTGTCAATATGCATGTCAGTCAATCAAATCATATCAGTCAATGGTCAATGAATCTATGCAATACGGAAATCTAATAGTCAATAAAACCAGTCAATGCAGAGGTAGACGAATCAATAAATCAACTCAATAAATCCATGTCAATCTCGAAGAAGTCCGTACACAGAAGAAAATTAGTCAATCCGTCAAATCAATCAAGTCGTCGAATCAATCAATCCGTTAAATCAATCGCTATCAAATCAAATCAATGCGGTCTAATCAAATATCTATTCAATGAAATCAATACGAGGAAAGCAGTACGATAAATCTCAATCTATTCTAACAGTGAATCCATGTAGCAGTCAATACGGTGCAGAAACAGTAACAACA